GCTCTGTCTGTGTAGAATTGTACAGTCCCTTAATTATTTCCCTTAACCAGGAAATTAACGTTCACAGTTGACCCTGAGAGGTCAAGTAAATACTTACAGCGTATCTAAATATTTATAATTAATTATAACTAGTTATGATTAATTATTCATATTTCCCCCGTGAGCTGATTCGCTACATGAGAATTGGATCTTAAAATGATAATGATAGTACTTTATTGTCAGACAAGTCTGAAATTTTTCTCACGTAACAGTATCCATGTTTACAACATTCAGCACCAACAAATACATTTAATCTACACAGTACAAAAACATCACGCATTATATGCTTTCCTCTTTTACATCACCTACACACACACAAGTCCGGTGAGAGAGAACAAAGTGAATAGTTGTGGAACTGCAGTAAGTAAGGCTGACAAGTCTATTTTATTCACTTAAACATCGGATAAAGTGATTATTTTCTCTTTAATACAGATGATGCCAATGTATTTTTCGATGAGTCGCTATGTTAGCAATAATAACGTTACCTGCTTGACGGAAAGGTTTGCCAGCTTTTCACAACAAAACCCGCCCCATTGCTACTCAAAAGCAATGCCCAAAACTAGCCCAAACTAACCGCGTTTGGAGGGGATCCCCCGGTAAAAATCGCATTCCCGGAGCTAAAATACACGTTATTGGGGATGCTTCAACCCGTGGACATGAAAAACAACCCGCGGCAACAGTGATAAAGTAGCCCAATTCCACGGGAAAACCGCGGACTTGGCAACACTGTGATGGATAGTAATGTCTACAACGGACACGAGCGCTGTCGTGGCGCGACCACAACAGCTTGAAGTTGACTAATTTGGCACGGTCTCCCTGCTACACTAATAGTAGTAAGGCTTTCCTCTGTGTATACATATCCTTACAAGTACAATTTTAGCTGGATTATTTGTGTCCCCTTCAAAAATTGCTCTTGAGAAATTTTATGTTTATTGTCCCCCCCCCCCACAACTGTTAGACGAAATGCACGCTCCTGCTACACCCTACACTTTACAGCAGCTTCACCTCTTATACTCTTGATTTTTGATTAAGTGTCTTATTCAACTCAAGTATAGCCTGATGCACAAATGAATGCATGCTTCAGCCTCACGCTGTTGAAACTTGGGACTCTGTACCTCCGATTTGGCGGTAATACGACAAACTCATTATGCAGAACGTGATTAGAATCAGCTACTATATTATTAGCTAGCCTTAACAAGTTGCTATAATAGGCTAAATCATATAGCTTCTCAAGAGGCTGACCAACAATCCTTGAACAGATTTTTATGTAATTAAACAATTTTATTTTTAATCGATGCGTTTTTGTAAGAAAAATATCCATATTCAAAACGTAATAATCACTTTAATGTAGCTTGCGGCAACAGTTGTACATGGAAGCAGCTCCGCGCTGATGACGTATGAGTTCAGCGTTGCATAAGTACTAATAATAAAAATGAAAAAATTCATTTTTGGGTGAAGTAACCCTTTATCCGATAGACTCTTATACCATATAAATTACAATATTGCAGTATACTCATAATCACAGACATAAAGAAGAGCAAAAGTATCTTCCTTCTCACTCCGAAAGACCTAAGACGACGAAGAAAGTAAATTCTTTGCTTTACTCTTTTACAGTGAGTATCAGTATGATCCTTCCAAGACAGCATATCGTCCACCATCACCCCTAAATACTTGTACATTTTAACCTGTCTGATTTTTTCATTATGAATAACAACAGGTAATATACAACCATCAAATCTCAACCCAAATATGATTTCTTCAGTTTTACTTGTATTAATAACAAGATCATTATTCTCACACCATTCTACCAATTTTGTCACACCCTGTTGATGTAGCATAGGACTGTCCGAAGCATTCATCAAGGATATTAAAACAGTGTCGTCAGAATACTTTAAAATATATTGATTTGTCATGTCAGCTCGACAAACGTCTGTATATGAAAAAGTAAAAAATATAGCAGAACTGACACATCCCTGGGGTACTCCAACATTTGTTATAATAGCAGATGACAATGTTTTATTCACTTTAACTTTTTTTCTTAACTTTTCTCATTTCTCATTTGTGAGAAATGAGATATACCAGCAAATCAGATGGACATTTCATCCAACTGTACAAGTTTTGACACCAAAATATCAACATGCATTGTATTAAACGCGGAGGAAAAGTCTAAAAACAAAGTTCTTATGGCAGTAGTAGGTTTATCTAGATGTTTAGAAATAAGATGTACTAAAGTAGCAACAGCATCTTCAGTACTGTAACCTTTCTTATAGGCAAACTGCCAAGGGTCAAGTTTGTCTTGAACTATCTGAACTAAATGCTGAAGTAACAATCTTTCCAAGCATTTCCCAATTACTGAAGTAAGGGCTATTGGTCTAAAATCCTTATATTCTCTCGGACATGGAACTTTGGATAATTGTTTTATATATGCAGTCTTCCATAACACAGGAATAATATGTGTGTCAATTGAGGCCTGAAATACTGGTTGCCACACTAGGGCTAATTCATTTGCAAAATTATTTAAAAAACCTGCACTACACCCATCAGGACCAACAGCCTTTTTCCTATTGATAGATTGAAACACTTTCCTGACATCATCTACCTCAATAACAATTCTCTCTGCAGATAATGGGGCCACAGCATCTATTATTTCATTGCATTTGGCATATTTACCTGTTGATTTGAATCTAGTAAAAAAAATAATATATATATATATATATATATTTAATTCAATATTCAAATAAAGTGTGACCTTTTAATTGTATTAACAAAAACTAGTTTAGGACTGATATTTTTGGAATAATTAGGTCAAGATTTGGTCTTCAAAAAGCCTTTTTTGAAAAAGGTACATCTGGAAAAAGGGGAGGTCTTCTTATAATCAGGGTTGTCTTATATTCGGAACAATATAGTGATTGTAAACAATTACACTGACACTGGAAAATACCTGTTTTTATTCATTTCATTTCTTTTTTACATTCTTGCATGCCAGTATTTGTGTGTCAGGTAGGGTGTGGGATATTTATACTAAAAGGCTCAGGAGGTTATGCTACCCGAGCTATGTCATGGTAACTCAGAGGC